TATTTTTGCAAACTCACAGAGCATATATCAAAATGGTCCAATATTTACACTTCTCATTTCTTTTACTTTTCTTACGGTATGGAACAGGGCTTCTTATATTACATCATCTGCAGATGAAACAATCATTTACATACAAAAACAACAGAATCCCTAGACAAACTATTATAATTAGAGTTCAGTAATCTTGCTGAAGCAAGATAAACTCACAAAAATTGGAAGTAAATCTCCACACCAACATTTGAGTATATAAAGCAACATAAGATACCATTCACAACAGCAAAGAAACCATCAAGTATCTGTATTTGCAAAGTCTATGGAGAAAAATGTAAAGTTCCTATAAAGGACAGAAGAAGATATGAATATCTGAATAAACATTCCTTTCCTGAGATGATACAATTTTAATATTATAGAGGTGTCAATTCTCCTAATTTTTAAATTCAGTATTTCAGTTGAATTTATTTAAAACTTGATAAACCTAAACTAAAATGTCTATCACTACTTCAGATTCTGTGTCTCCCTCTCTCTCTGCCCCTCCCTGACTTGCACTCTGTCTCTCTGTCTCTCTCTCTCTCTCTCTGTCTCTCTCTCTCTCTCTCTCAAAGATAAACATTAAAAAAAAATTAAAGAGGGGCGCCTGGGTGGCTCAGTCCGTTAAGCGTCCAACTTTGGCTCAGGTCATGATCTTGCAGTTTGTGAGTTTGAGCCCCGTGTCGGGCTCTGTGCTGACAGCTCAGAACCTGGAGCCTGATTTGGATTCTGTGTCTCCTTCTCTCTCTGCCCCTCCCCAACTTGTACTCTGTCTCTGTCTCTCTCTCTCAAATATAAACATTAAAATTTTTTTTTAATGTCTATCAAAGAATGCACTTCCATGAAAATGCCAAAAATTTGACAAAAATATTACATAGGAAAAACTTGCTTTAACAGATACTAAGTCATACACAAAAGCCATAGTAATCAAAATAGCATGGTTTTAATCTAAGGCCAAAAACATGGACAACTAGGATATCATAGAGAGTCTTTTTTTTTAAATATGAAATTTATTGTCAAATTGGTTTCCATACAACGCCCAGTGCTCATCCCAACAGGTGCCCTCCTCAATACCCATCACCCACCCCACATCAACCCTAAGTTTGTTCTCAGTTTTTAAGAGTCTCTTATGGTTTGGCTCCCTCCCTCTCTAACCTTTTTTTTTCCTTCACCCTCCGCATGGTCTTCTGTTAAGTTTCTCCAGATCCACATAGGAGTGAAAACATGCTATCTGTCTTTCTCTGTGTGACATATTTCACGTAGCATAACACTCTCCAGTTCCATCCACATTGCTACAAAAGGCTATATTTCATTCTTTCTCATTACCAAGTAGTATTCCATTGTGTGTATAAACCACAATTTCTTTATCCATTCATCAGTTGATGGACATTTAGGTTCTTTCCATAATTTGGCTATTGTTGAGAGTGCTACTATAAACATTGGGGTACAAGTGCCCCTATGCATCAGCACTCCTGTATCCCCCGGGGTAAATTCCTAGCAGTGCTATTGCTGGGTCATAGGGTAGGTCTATTTTTAATTTTTTGAGGAACCTCCACACTGTTTTCCAGAGCAGCTGCACTAGTTGCATTCCCACCAACAGTGCAAGAGGGTTCCCATTTCTCCACATCCTCTCCAGCATCTATAGTCTCCTGATTTGTTCATTTTAGCCACTCTGACTGGCATGAGGTGGTATCTGAGTGTGGTTTTGATTTATATTTCCCTGATGAGGAGCGACATTGAGCATCTTTTCCCATAGAGAGTCTTATATGGGAACAATATAAAACTCTACAGGGTTTAATCACATTAAATATCAAAATAGTTTGTGACCCAAATTTGTACTCTGAGTATATAACCCAAATAAATTATCACAACAGACCACTGGGAGACATGTCCAAGAGGGTTCATCATGATGTGTATACTGGCCAGGAACTGGGGATATCGCTGGGGATGGGCTGTGGAGCATGCAGAAGGCACATACTTCAGAGCATTATCCTGCTGTCAGAAGCCATCACTATGTGTGAACACTGCATTGTAGATAGATCCCAATAGCACAGTGTGAAAAAAAGTGGGAAATAGAATGTAATCTATTACACAAAACAGTTGAGCCCATCACGCACCAACACATGACAACAAAATATAACATGGAGACACACATCTACAACCGAAAACAATGACATACATTTTACACAAATGTGTACAACAGATTATTGGGAAGGCTGTTTCCAGGGGGATGGGAGGAGGAGTGCGGACAAAAGCGAACACGTGCACGTACAATGGAGATAAGCCCGCACATGCGTGCATTTATAGCCAATACACACGACCGTGAGCGAGTTGCGTCATGCAAGCAAATTATGGCAACGTGCCATGATCTATGCATGCCAAGATGAACGAAAACAAAAAGGAATGAGCTTGATTGTCCAACATTCAGTTCCTTTAAAATTCTTGTGACAAGAAAAATTGGGTTCAGACTACATAGGGGCAATATCTCCAAGGGACCTATTTTGACAAAGCTGGAAGACCCTGGCAAAGTTAACATTCCAATGATGTGTCCTAGGGGAGGTTTCCCCAGAAGAGCGTCTCTCAATTCATATAATATGAGAAAAATAGCTGGGAAGAGATTTCTTTATCTCTCAGAAGACTGTAACACCAGAAGAGCAGGAAACGTTGCTAGTTTAATTTCTTTTCTCCACCTGCACCCTTCCTCGGCAGACACGGTAACTGGCCAAGATCTCTGGGGCTGGTAAATGCATCCTGCTTTGTTTTTTTGTTTTTTTTTTTTTTTTAATTTTTTTTTTTCAACGTTTTATTTTTATTTTTGGGACAGAGAGAGACAGAGCATGAACGGGGGAGAGGCAGAGAGAGAGGGAGACACAGAATCGGAAACAGGCTCCAGGCTCTGAGCCATCAGCCCAGAGCCTGACGCGGGGCTCGAACTCACGGAGTGCGAGATCGTGACCTGGCTGAAGTCGGACGCTCAACCGACTGCGCCACCCAGGCGCCCCCTGCTTTGTTGACCAAGAGAGTTGCCTACCTTTCTTTCTCTCCTGGAAAATTAATTTATAGTTTGAACAGCTGGCACAGCTGGCTGACTGTGCAAAGCAAAGCACCTCTTGTCTTAGCTTAGACGGGGGACAGCTGAAACAGAGAACTGCAGAAACTGAAAGCTGGACAGAAAAAGCAGTTCTTTCCAGACTGTAGGAACAAAAGCTGGAGAGATTTAGAAAGGCCAAAGGTTTGGAGAAAGTCCAAGCTCTCTCTGTCTTCTGAGAACTCCTTCACAGTCCTAGGGAAAAACCCGTGTATTAATAACATGGGGCTTGCCAGTGTCCTAAGGTTAAACTCATATTTTCAAGGGACAATAATTGCAGGATCAAGCACATGAGAATTAAACTTGGACATGGAAATTATTTTTCCCTTCCTAGTTGCATAGAAAGGTCAGCTCTGGCCAGAGAAATTCAAAGACAGTGGAATGTAAGCACATTTTATAAAGGAACTCTGGAGTTGCCCTAAAGGGAGGACTCAACTGAGAGAATAAAGACCAACTGTCTTTGGAAATAGAATTATCTCCCAATATAGGACTGAAATGAGTCAAAATTGTAACTAATGCCAGCGCTGGGTGTGCTGCTTGCTATCCTCAGCCTCCCTTCTGTTTCCATGTCTCCTAAGCCCTACTTGGACTGGTGGACTTCCCAGGATCCTGGTGTGTGGTCTCTCAGGATACCTTGCATGGTCTCTGTATCCCTATTCGCCAGGATCCAATCAAGACCCTCTCTTTAGGCCTTCTGTGGAGTCCTAAGGGCCATGGAGCAAAAGGGGCAGTGGTTTTGTCCAAAAGGAACACTGGAATTCTGAATACTATTTCATCCTAACAAAAACATTCTGTTGCTACAGCATTAGAAATCATAGATTATCAGTTACTTTTTCAGAATTCCACAGGAAGTGGTCCAGAGAACTAAAGGCAATGATAGAACAGACCCAATGTCCATCTTCTGTTTATTATCACCATGCACTAGCAATTCTATACAATGTCAATGGTAAAATATTCCACTTTTTGTGGTGGATTCCAGCCTCTCCACACCTGCACTTTCACACTCACTGCTGGAAAGTTTTAATGCTCTCTACAGGGTTTGATCCAATGGAATGACAAATATGAGATCTTGTAGGACTTTGATCACTACACATCTTGCTGCCCATACATATTATACGTGAGGTCAGCTCCCTTCAGGCCTCCAAGGCATTGACCAAATGGTACAATCACCAGTCACTCCTCTTTTTTTTTTTTTTTTTGCCTGTAAGAAATATTCTGTCCTCAGCAATATGATGTACTTACTTATATAACCATTAACTTTAAAGTCGAACATTGCCTTGTAACATGGATTTGCGTGTTACTTTTTCATTATACAAGCTAGTCCTTAATCTTTGTATATTTTAGTTCTTGGTCATTTTGTTAAGGTCGTATCCTTGGAGATTAAATGAAATATTTTCAGTTGAGGAAGGGACAACAATACACTTAAAATGTATTTAGTTTGAAAAATAATTTTAATTCACATAGGGAAAAGTTAGTCAATGAAAGAAATCTCTATAAATTCAAACATGTATTTATTTGTAACTGGAAATAGACTGCAGTCAAATTTTAGACACTGTGCTTGGGATTTATTTAAGTGTTCTTTTTTGGTGAGAGCATTGGGGAGTTTCAGATTATAAAAACTTTATATATTAAGCACTGATGTCTGTAATCAAAGATCTTTCTAGAGGTCAAATTTGCACATGAACATTCCTGCCTACTTATCTTCGATATTGTTTTGAGTTTTCAGTAGAGACATATTCTGTCTTAAATTTATGTCAGAAGATTCAGAATCATTTGAGAGTCTGGCTATACACCTCCTACACTGGGTTTAATCTAAATGTGAGCAGAATAAAACACGGTGGAAAAATCCCGACAAACTCTCTTCTTTTGTTCCATTTCCAGTGAGAACAATTATTCTACAGACTCCGTTATAACTGCTCGGACATTACCCGTTGCTCAGCTGGGAGAGCTCAGCCTGCAAGGGTGAGTTACTGTGATAACACGAAGACATTCTCTCGCGTTTAGAAAGAGAAACAGACATGGGTCACATAATGGGCGATAATTTGGATGAGGAAAGATGTACTGAATGCTAAATGCTTTAGCTGTGTTGAGGGCACCTTGGAAGCAAAGATGAAGTAGTTATGTCTCATTATCTTTAAGTCAAGTAGGACGAGGTAGAATTTTGGGGTTCTAAATTGTCATTGTAGCTCATGCCAAAGCCATTGAGAGCCCAGGAACAGTCGCATCGATTTCCCAACAGTCTTGCTATGAGCTGTTGAATGGGACTCCAATCTTAGGGCAACTTTCTGCCTGGTCGTGTTGTGCTTTGAGAGGGGTGCTGCTTAAAACACTGCGTACAAGGAGACCAGACGTGCATGGCCCCAGTTGGACAGACTGACTGGAACAGCAGTGAGAGCCGTGTAGGGTAGCTGTGAGCAGAGCCTCTTCAGCCATCTCCGTTTCCAGTGGTGATGATGGTACCTGGTCTCTTCCCTTTCCCTGAGCTGTGAAAGAGAAAGAAGACACACACATCGCTGCAGAGTTTATGATTTACTTGAAGACTTGCCTGAGTTTTCTATTTAGGACTCTGTTTTGACCGAGAGTGCTGGTAACGTGGAGTTAAACTGAATCGTTGTAGGCAGTGCATGCTTTTCTCGGCGAGAGTGTATGTTAGCATCTACGGGTGTCCCGTTGAACTAGAGGCTCCCCCTTATAAAGTGTTAAGTGGTCCCTTTACAGGGGCATTGGAAGGCAGGAAAAAAGGCCATTTAGTTAACTTAAGCAGGATATTCCCCGGGGCAAGGGGAGATGTGTGTGCTTGAGCTTGCTGTCTGTGGCACTTGAAGGTGGTGTAAGTGGGGGTCCACCGAGTGGCAGATGATGTTTCTCTTATGTGGGCATTGTTCCGGAACCCTCCAGGCGGCACTGAACAGTTCTGGGGGAGGCGAATTGAAAAGACTCTGAGGCCTTTAGAACAGCTTATTAAACCAATGAAAATCTGCCCCAAATAATAGTTTTAGGACTGCAGTGGCATGTTTGTATAGACATGTGCCTTCCTTCAACAATCTCTTATGGCAACGGTTAATTCTATTTCCAAGTAAATCCATTCCCCAGAACATTTCTGTAAGCATGTTGCTCAGCACACTTATTACCCAGCAGTTTGCTTACCTAGAAAATGCCTTCTCACTCACCCTTGAGGAGAGTGCTCGCGACATGAATAACGCTCTGGGAAGCATTCATGCTTTCTGACTTTAGATGATTGGAGCATAAGGGACCAGCACAGCTGGGAGAATCAATACCAGAAAGAAAGAAAGAAAGAAAGAAAAAAGACTCTAATGATCTCTCCTAGCTTTTTTCCCTCCTCCCATTTAAAACATTTCTTTTGTGGGTTTTTTTTTTCATTTTTATTAACTATATTTTATCACAAAATGTACATGTATAAAAAGAAACAAAAGGAAAAATAAGATATTCAAAAGTAATCTAGAGCCCACCATCCCCAGAAATTGTTAGCAGCCTTACAAGTATTTTTTGGAATTATAAATGTATGTACAAGCAGAAATGTATGTACATGTATGCGTATCTTGCTCCTCCAAATGACGCGTATCATATGCACTCTTGTGTGAAGAACCCTCATTTGTGAACATTCTGGTTGTGATGCGTGTTGCCTTAGTGATCACCTGAGATGGAGCGTGGTGAGATTTGCTTCTCTGTCTGCCATCCATGCCCCACCCACCATGCTTATGCGCATACATGCACACGTACGCGTGCCACACACAAATATATGCCACACAGGACGCACGCAAAGACGTACCAACAAGTCAAGAGAATAGAAACCGCTACTTTTAATAAAGCCTTACCAGATACACGATAGACATGCCTGTGGCATATGCAGGAGGGAAGAGGTTAGTTCCCATGCCTGGGAGAGCGGTATAACGTGAGTTGGAGAGCTAACCCATGGACAGAGGGCACTATTCCAGGAGGGCAAGAACGATATGCGAGATAGTGGTGTGGAGGGTCTTGGTAAATCTACTTGGGGGAGAGGGGGATCTCCTGAGACATTTAGAAAGATTCACACTGGACAGCGGCCCCCTTCTAGTTCGCAATCCACACACACAGGAGCCTCCAGCACAAGATGGATCGGACATGGATCATGTCTGAGAATGCTGGGGGGGGCGGGGGGGAGGCAGTGCTGCCAGACAGATGTCAGCCTTGCTGGGACGCTGCTGCACAAGGTCTTTGCACTGTCCCTGAAGGTCGTGTAACGGATCTAGGAAGAAGCTTCCATTGCCATCAGTGTCTGGGCAGGTAATCACTCACGTGGCAATGTACGTGCCCGTGCCTGTGCTGCAGTGAAAAGCAGAGGAGACTCAAGAAATGCACACATTACTCCCCATGTCACTGTTGCGTTCCCACTAAATCAGATGGCTCCTTGCTCTCTCCCATCCATACCCTCCCCCCCCCCCCCCCCCCGCAGGAACGGCCCTTGGAGATGGGGCTGGGACTGAAAGTGGGAATGTAAGGGCGCCTTCTAAGGGAAGAAAAGTTGGGGAAGGAGCTATGAGCAATGCAACTTGAACTAAACAGAGTGCTGCTCAAAGGGACTTTAAACCCGAAGGTCTATGACATCTTGTGTTGAAGAATACGTTTTCTGCCTCCTGCGTGCATACGGCTTCTCCATGACTGCTGAGTCTGTTCTAATGTTTCCAGTTCCTTGGTTACACAGTGCAGTGAATTCAAGTGTGAGTGTTCACATAGTTCACCCATGACATGAAATCAACAGTGGGAGTGATATTTGTCTAGATTTTTCCCCAAGAGTATACTAGTTTTCATGTTCATCAATAGTGTATGAGAACACCTGCTACGTCACAAATCAGCCAACTGTGTGTGCAACCATACATGTTAATATTTGCCAATATGGACTTTGACAATGAAATTCTGGGGGCACCTGGGTGGCTCAGTCAGTTAAGCAGCAGACTTTGGCTCAGGTCGTGATCTCACGGTTCATGGGTTCGAGCCCCACATCGGGCTCTGTGCTGACGGCTCAGAGCCTGGAGTCTGCTTCAGATGCTGTGTCTCCCTCTCTCTTTGCCCCTCCCCTGCTAGTGCTCTATCTCTCTCTGTCTGTCACAAATAAATAAAAATGTTAAAAAAATTAAAAATTTTTAAAAAAAGAAAGAAAATGAAATTCTGTTTTTAAGGGACTTTTTTTTTTTAATTTTTTTTTCAACGTTTTTTATTTATTTTTGGGACAGAGCGAGACAGAGCATGAACAGGGGAGGGGCAGAGAGAGAGGGAGACACAGAATCGGAAACAGGCTCCAGGCTCCGAGCCATCAGCCCAGAGCCTGACGCGGGGCTCGAACTCACGGACCGCGAGATCGGGACCTGGCTGAAGTCGGACGCTTAACCGACTGCGCCACCCAGGCGCCCCTGGCCCTTACCAATTAAATAAACCTCCCTTAGCAACAGAAGCATCAACCTAGCTTGGAAAAGCATTTAAAAACAAAAATAATGCCTGAATGCAGGAGCACACGTTTTCAAGCAGTAAGAATTCTGTTTCAACTTTATAATATATTTGGAATAGCGATCATTAAGTCTTAAATTTCAGCGAATTACAATATCCACGATATAGCTAAATCTTAAATTGTTTCTTCACTTGAGTAGAAGAATGTAACTTTAAGACCTCATCTTTTGGTTGGATTGCAGTATTTAAAAAGTTTGAATGGTTTACCAACTCTCAAATAAGAATTTTTTTTATGTTTAAAAATCGAGATTTTCAGCCTTTCTTGAAATACTGGAAAATCTGGGAATACTGGTTTTGCAACTGCAGTCTCTATCATCTTGCTGACGCTAAGTAAGATATCCACTGCAGTGATCATTGAATTCATGCCCTGATGGTTCTTTATGCTGTGTACTCCCGGTGAGCATTTGAACCTGTGACACCTGATTATGCATTAGAAGGGTGGGTGCACCCCTGAGCTCTCTGGCAGCAGGAGAGCTCAGAAAGTAGACTGGGACCCCAGCATCACCCCTCTGTGATTTCTACGCTGAAAGCCTCGCCTGCCCCCCAGGTTTTCTCTTTCTTTCTTGTTTTCCTTCATAAATAGGTAGCCATTTTAATACTTCTCCAAATGCATGCTGATTGTTTATTAACAACATAGCAGTTAATGAAAATTCCTCTCTGAGTTCTTCAGACAGAAATCACAGAGTCCATCTTGGTTGGCCTTGCTGACATTTAAGCAAAGATTTGAAGGAGCCTGTCCCAGATACCTGCAGGAAGCCAGGAGGAGGGAAGAATTTCACAATGCCCTCAGGCAGGGATATGCAGCCTGTGTTTGAGGAATAATAAGGCATCCAGTGTAGCTGGACTTGACTGAGAAAGAGCCTCAAAGCCAAGGACCTTTGTCCCACTAGGACAAAGTCACACTATAATGCTGTTCCCTCTAATCATATTCATTGTATTTCTTTCCATTATTATTTCTTTCATACCCCACTGGGACTACTTTTCATCGCATTCCAGGACTCCTCCCGAGTAGGTCTTCTTTTGTGGTGGGAAAAAAATAGTGTGAGGTCCTGAAGACGTCCATTGCAACGCTCTTGGGTTCCCCCCCCCCATATGAAACTTTTGTTGTTGAATCAGGTCTGGGTGCTGTACCATAGTTTTTCATTTTAAGGATCTCTCTTTTCTTCTTGGTGTGAATTATACAATATCTAGGTAGTGTGAGGAGATTTCTCATGTGGAGTACATGAAGGAGAAGATTCCCCCCACTGTTATGTAGATGGACCATAAAGCAGGCCCTTCCCTCCCTCAAAGGTGCATCGTCCTGGGGAAGATTCCCAAGCTCTGTGCATTGGCTTTCCTCTTCTGCCTTGCGGATAGTAGTTGCTCATTTTGTTGTTTTGGGGATTATGTGAGCTAATACATGTACAAATGCTTAGACCAGTAGCTGGCACAGAACAAGCTCTATGTGTTTATTGTTATAA